TATATATATATATATATATATATATATATATATAGGAAAAAAATGAGATTAACTCACTAGCTCATATGAACATATGAGCCCAACGATTCAGATTGAATCTGGACCGATCTGACAATCACGGATGTCTTGTAGTGTTTGAATTTTAGTTTTTTTTCTACAAATCCAAATCACTTGAAATTTAGGTGTATGTTCATCAAAAATAGATTAATTTTCAAAAAATATCAAAAAAAATATTTTACATGAAATAAATTGACCAAAATACTATCAAAAATTTTTGGGGGGTATTTTGGTCATTTTATTTTCACAAATAACTATTTTTATATTTTCATTAGGTGCGTCTTAATGAAAGAAATTAAAATTCAAACACTACCGGACATCTGTGATCATCAGATCGGCCAAGATTCAATCTGGGTCATTGGGCTCATATGTTCAGATGAGCTAATGGGTTAATATATATATATATAATAAGATACTACAAACGCCTATAGATGAAAATGAACAGTGATTTCGCCTACGCTCATTATCATCCAAACTTCATCGTACAGCCACAGTTGTCTGGTAGGGTTTTCATTTTTCATTTATTTTTTACTAATTGGAATGGTCTAAAATTTGGAGTGTGTGTACATCTTAGTGATGCACACTTAATAAAACTATGAAAAAAATAATTCGAAAAATATAAATTGACCAAAATACCTCCAAAAATTTATGGGGGTATTTTAGTCAATTTATATTTTACAAATTATTTCTTTCATATTTTTATTAGATGCGTCTCAATAAGATGTACACACACTCCAAATTTAAAATAATTTGGATTTATAAAAAAAAATGAAAATTGAAACACTACCAGACAACTATGACCGTGCGCTAAAGTTTATATAATATAAATATATTTAAATATTATATATATTATATATATTATATATCATTTTATAAAAGGTGCAGTTTGTATAGAGCCTAGGCTCTAAACAATTAAATTAGAGCCTACTTTCAAATAATGTCGAGAAATATGGTTTTAACACTGGAAATCTTTGTGATATTTTTATTTATAAAGTTTAAAACTTCAAAAATGGTGTAGATCAACATATCTATGAAATCTTGAAAGTCTTGAAAATTGACTGTCCAAATATGCATTACAAAATAGACTATTTCCAAAACTTGAAATCCATTTTTTTTCTCATGTCCATGCATCCTGATATCGAGATGATCAATTTGAAGATGTTTGGGCCTCCAAACAACATCTTCTAGTGAACTTTTTGATGTAGGCTCAAATTTGACTGTTTAGAGCCTCGGCTCTATATAAATTTCTCTTTTTATAAATTATAATATATTTTATTATATATTTTATAAATATATATAATATAAATGTTATATTTGAAATGATTCTATGGGACCCTCCCCTACCCATGTGTATAGGACCCCAAAAGATCACCATTAAATTTGGGCATGGAACTATAGAAAAGTCAAGTCCCACACCCATGTGATAACTTTTCTAGACATCTGTGCTAGCTTTAATGGTGATCCTTTGGGGTCCGATACACATGGGTGGAGGAGAGTCCTATAGGATCATTACTCATGTATATATATATATTGTACATTATTAAGTCTGAGAGTTATGTGATAGACACATGTCGTGAAAATAAGAAGGAATCCAATTCCTTGAAAGATGAGTTTAGGCTATCGTGTAGGGACATCAGTTTTTTAAAAGAAATTTTCCTGCTTTTTCAAAATTGAAGGCATTATTAAATCAGAATTAAGGGGTGGGATCCTATCCCTAAAGAGAAGATAAGACATATAGTCATGTGAGGAGTTTAGGCTATCTTGTAGGGACATCGGTTCTTTTAAAAGAAATTCTCGAGCTCTCCAAAATTTAAGGAGAAAGAGGCACGTAGAAATTGAGGCAAACATAAATTTTAGCAGATAGAGGCACGCATAAGTTCTAGGCCCTATAAGGTCCACTAAAAATTTTACATCTATACTAATTGGAAATAGGAAATAGGAAATATCCAACCTTTCAAATTCCATCCAAATCTTTGTCTTATATACATGTTAATGTTAATATTAATTGGAAATAGGAAATAGGAAAGATCCAACCTTTCAAATTCCATCCAAATCTTTGTCTTATATACATGTTAATGTTAATGTCAATTAGTGTGTATTCACGTTTCCAACCGAACCGAAAGAGATTTACAAGTTAAGATATGTAGAGATATGATTGAGAGTTTGAAAGATATTGAAGAAAGAGAAGTTCTATCCTCCCCCTTATCAAACTCTATATTATGAATAGAGGGTTAAGATTGTCCCAATCACAATATCACGTTTTTATATTATTTTATTTTAAATTTTTTTCTATAAACTATTTTAGTACTAAATTTTGGGACGTCCGTTCCTCTATTAAACTCGCACTAGAGAAAAATATAAAAAAAAATATTTTCAATAAAATAAAATGACCAAAATACCTTTAGAAGTTTCTAGGGGTATTTTGGTCATTATATTTTATCGAAAAATTATTTTTAATATTTTTTATAGGTGCGTCCCAATGAGAAGATGGCATATACCAAATTTCATATTCATACAATTTGTATAAAAAACTAAAAATAAAATACTTTGAGACGTTGGATCTAAGATCAAACGGTGAATGATTCTTTTGATCAAAATTGGACTGCTGAATGGTAGAGGGAAGATAGAACTTCTATGTTGTAGAAGAAACATAAAAACATTTCTATGAATAAATAGATTGAAGCAATGAATATGCATTAATTTAGGAGCGATAACAATTGGGAGCTCCTATTCCTTAAGTTTATTTCAAAAGTTTAGAGAAACTTCTCTCTTTGACTTTTTTTTTGTTGAAAAAGAATGGGGTGGGTGGAAGGAGAGAGAGAGGCCATCATCGTCGTATAGGTCTGGAAGTTCAGAGACCACAATTAATGAAGATCAAAGTGTTGACAGTTCAGAGACCACAAAGTTTTGAGTTCAAAACTCCTTCTTAGATTACTTTCGAAGTGTTGCGTCTTCACAAAGAAGGAAGTTTTCGGGGTCGAATGGAGGTGGAGGTGGAGGTGGACGTGGAGATGGAGATGGGAAGCATTGTAGTGAAGTGGGAGATTGGTCGAGGTATTTCGATGAGGAAGAGATTGCGCCTGCTTCACCTCAGCAAGAACTCTTTTTGAAGCATAATTTTATAGGTTAGAAAGATAAGCGAGATGAGAGCAAAGTGTGTTGGATATAAGATTAAAGGAAAAATATCTCTATACCCTATATTTTTAGGTTTTATTTCACAATAGACTCTAGATTTTAAAAGAATTTTGTGATATAAAAATTGTAGATTTTATTTCTTCTAACCTCCTAAACTAATTTAAACTTGTTTTCTAAGCCAAACAAATCTAAAAAGACATTTAGATTAGATATGGTTTAGATATCTCATTTGTAAGTCTATAAAAGACAAATCAGTACATTTATATGAATAATGGACACTGAGTCTCTTTAAAGAAACGTAAGACTTCTTCAAGTGGTATCAGAGCCAGATTTATCTTGGTAGTGTCCATTTCTCGTCCCTGAAGCATTGTCACCAATGTTTAAGACGAGTCTGTTGCTCACCCAGTCGGTGCAACTTC